TATTCAGGGACACCTGGGGGGTTCAGGGACATCTGGGGTTCAGGGATACCTGGGGGGTTCAGGGATACTTGGGGGGGACAGGGATACTTGGGGGGGACAGGGAGACCTGGAGTTCAGAGACACCTTGGGGGGACAGGGACATCTGGATTCAGGGACACCTGGATTCAGGGATACTTGGGGGGAGCAGGACACCTGGGGGGGTTCAAGGACACCTGGGGGATCAGGGACACCTAGGGAGGGGCGGGTCTGAGGGGTCACAAGCACGATGGGGACGGGTCTGGGGGTTGGGGTTGGGGGGGAGATGGGGATGGGGCTGGGGGAGCTGGGGAGGGAAGGAGGGAAGGAATGGGGGATGCTGGAGATGATGGGGAGGGAGATGGAGAATTCTGGAGGAGCTGGAGTGGGAGGGAGAGCAGGAGATGGGAGATCCTGGAGGAGCTGGAGAGGGAAGGAATGGAGGATCCTGGAGGAGTTGGGGTGGAACGAAGCAGAACAAGGGGCAGAGAGGGGTGGAGGCAGATCCGGAGCTGCCGGGCTCGTTTGTCACTGTCACTGCACAGCCACCAGCTCGGTGAGAGGGGCTGGAACAATCCCAGCCTGGAGAGGCCTTGGTTTTACCACAGGCAAAATTAAAAAAAAATTCAAACCCCTCAAAAAATCTGCCTAAAAACCCCTGCACCAGCAGCCAAACCTCCTTCCATTTGCTCCCCCAAACTGCCGAGCTCTTCCCAGCACCTCCAAACCCACTGGAGCAGCGGGAGGAGGAGCAGGAATTCTGCTCCCCACCCCAGCACCCCCCACCGGCCCCAAAAGCACCAACCTGGGACTGTGCCGTGACAGAGAGACCCCAAACACCCCCCTAAATCCCACTGGGTGCCGCTGGATTTAGGTGCCCTGGGCGTCTGGGTGTCACCCGTGTCCCCTGGGCTCCCTGGGGACACCCTGGGGCCTCACGGAGCGTCCCTCTCTTTGCAGCGCTTCCAAGTAAGGAGACCCAAAGCTCGAGGCCACCCACTGCCAGCCCCCGGTGTCCCCCCGGTGTCCCCCCGGTGTCCCCCCGGTGTCCCCGGATCCCTCTGCCACCCCCACGATGTCCCTCCCGCATTCCTGCCCCGCTTCAGCGGCCACCACACCCACCTGGAGCATGTGTCACCTCGCTGTCCCCGCTGTCCCCAGCTGCTGGCAGGGCCTGGTGGCTGTGGCTGCTCCCTCCGGGGCCGGGAATTTTGGGGAAAAGGGAACCGCTTCCTCTGGGTCGGGATTTTTGGGGAAAGGGGGATGGCTTCCTCAAAGTTGAGATTTTTGGGAAAGAGGAATTTCTTGCTGCCGGGTCGGGATTTTTGGGGAAAGGAGAATAATTCCCTCCCAGGTCGGGATTTTTGGGGAAAAGGGAATCGTTCCCTCCGGGGCTGGGAATTTTGGGGAAAGGGGAATTTCTTGCTGTCGGGTTGGGATTTTCGGGGAAAAGGGAATCGCTCCCTGCTGGGCTGGGATTTTTGGGGAAAGGGGAATTTCTTGCTGTCGGGTCGGGATTTTTGGGGAAAAGGGAATCGCTCCCTTCCAGGACAGGATTTTTGGGGAAAGGGGAATCGCTTCCTGCTCGACTGGGAATTTTGGGGAAGGGAAAATCACTCCCTCCCAGGCTGGGATTTTTGGGGAAAGGGGAATCGCTCCCTCTCAAGTCGGGATTTTTGGGGAAAGGGGAATCGCTCCCTCTCTGTTTGACTCTCCAGGAACTCTCTCCTGAAACCCGGCGGGGAAATCATCCTGGGAGGCAGCGACCCAGCCTATTACACCGGCGACTTCCACTACCTGAACGTGAGCAGGAGCGGCTTCTGGCAGATCAGCATGAAGGGGTGAGGGCGGGGACAGCCCCTGGATGGGCCGGGAATGTCGCAAGGATTTGTGGAATCACGAACCGCGGGGATGTTTAGGTGGGGAAAAGCCTTTGGGAGCACTGAATCCAGCCCGGCACTGGTGTGTCCAGGGCTGCATCCCGCGGCTCTGTGAGGGTGGGATCTCAGAGATCTCAGGGATTTCAGGGATCTCAGGGATTTCAGGGATCTCAGGGATTTCAGAGATCTCAGGGACTTCAGGGATTTCAGGGATCTCAGGGATCTCAGGGATCTCAGGGATCTCAGGGATTTCAGGGATTTCAATGATTTCAGGGATCTCAGGGATCTCAGGGATTTCAGGGATGTTTTCCCTCAGCGTTGCTGCCGGATTCTTTTCCCGGTCTGAACAGAACTGGGGTGAGCTCCTCCAGCTCCTCCAGGCTCAGCAAGGAGCCAGGAGCAGCTGGGAATGCAGAGGGGGTGGCACCGTGGGCTGATATTCCACTTGGGAGCTGCAGTTGGAAGAGTTTAACCCCCGGCAGTCCTGCGGTGAAACAATCCTGCTTTGTTTAACCAAAAAAAAAAAAAAAAATTAAAAAAAGTCCCTGCACATGATGGAGCTTAGATCCCACACTGGAAAAGCCGGGAGCAGTACAGGCCTGGCTGGGGGTGGAGGTGACATTCCTGGTGTCACCAGGGGACACTCGGGATGGATGTGACACTCCCAGGAGTACCCTTGGTGTCAGCAGGGGGATACTCGGAATTAAGGTGTCACTCCCAGGAGCACCTTTGGTGTCACCACAGGACACTCAGGATGGATGTGACATTCCCGATGTCACCAGGGGACACTCCCAAGAGCACCTTTGGTGTCACCAGGGGACATTTGGGATGGATATGACATTCCTGAGAGTATCCCTTGGTGTCACCAGGGGCTACTCGGGATGGATGTGACACTGCCGGTGTCACCAGGGGACATTTGGGATGGAGGTGACACTGCTGGTGTCACCAGGGGACACTCATCTCCCTCTCCAGGGTGGCCGTAGGGGCCGAGATCCTGTTCTGCAGGGAAGGCTGCTCAGTGGCCGTGGACACGGGGGCCTCGTACATCACCGGCCCCGCTGGCCCCGTGTCCGTGCTCATGAAAGCCATCGGGGCCACCGAGGTGGCCGAAGGAGAGGTGAGTGACCGCCAGCCCCTCTCCGTGTCCCCGCTGGCTGCCTGGCCCCTGTCCCAGCGCTGTCCCCTCCCCTGCAGTACGTGGTGGACTGCGAGCAGGTGCCTCAGCTGCCCAACATCTCCTTCCACCTGGGAGGGAAGGTCTATGGCCTCAGCGGCCCCGCCTACGTCCTGCGGGTGAGTGCTCTGGGTGCCCCAAATCCTCCAAAATCAGCCCCAAAATGACGCTCCTTGTCTTCCCCAAACCCTTTTGTTGGGTGGGGGTGTCCACGTGAGCCGGGGTGAGCTGTCCCTGCTTCCTGCCGTGGTTTGGGGAGGATTTGGGGTGAGCAGGGATCGGTTTTTGCTGGAATTTGGGTATCGGGAAAGGTTTTACACCCCGAAGGTGGGTGGGTGGGTGGGCTCTGGAACAGCGGGAAGTGGTCACCGAGGATTTGGACAACACCCCCAGGCACAGGGTGGGATTTTTGGGATTGTCTGTGCAGGAAAGGAGCTGGTCCCCGATGATCCTGGTTGGGGATATTCCACAATTCCCGAGGAAGGAGCATGGAGGCGGAGCAGAGGGGGCACAGCGACACAGGGGACACCCCCTGCTGTCCCCTCCCTCACTCCGTGGGTCTCTTTCCCGCAGCAATCCCAGTACGGGGAGGACGTGTGCGTGGTGGCTTTCTCCGGGCTGGACATCCCCCCTCCGGCCGGACCCCTCTGGATCCTGGGCGCCACCTTCATCGGGCACTACTACACCAAATTCGACCGGCGCCACAACCGCATCGGCTTCGCCACCGCCCGCTGAGGGCTGGGGGGACCGGGGGGGACCGGGAGGGATCCAGGGGACCGGGAAGGACCGAGGGGACCGGGAGGGTCCGGGGGGATCGGGGAGATCGGGAGGGACGGAGAGGAACTGAGAGGGAGCGGGGGGACCGGGAGGAACCGAGGGGACCGGGAAGGACCGGGAGGGACCGGGGGGACCGGGAAGGACCGGGAGGGACCGGGGGGACCGAGGGGAGAGGGAGGGACCGGGGGGGACCGGGAGGGACTGGGGGGAGCGGGAGGGACCCGGGGGGACCGAGGGGACAGGGAGGGACCCGGGGGGAGCGGGAGGGACCGGGAGGGACCGAGAGGAGAACCGGAGATTGGAGGAGCCCCAGGAAACAGCAGCTCCCTCCCAGCTCGGCCGCCTCCTCTCTGTCACCGCAGCGATTCCAAACCTCCCCTGCTCCCACTCCCGAACCCCCCGCGCTGCTTCCCGGGAGCTGCCGAGAGCTGAGCCCGGAACGGGGCTGGGAATTCCCAGCGGGATCCTTTCGGGATGATGTGCAATGACAGGAACACAGGGACTTGCTGGCTGAGGGATGGTCTGTGACTGTTCGTGTTGTTCCTAAATTTCGGGGGAAATAATCAGTGTTTATTGATAGTTTTAGCCTGCCCCTCTTCATGACTTTGATATTAAACAATTTAAAGCAACAGGAGGATGAGTGGAGGGTTGGTGTTGCAGAGGGGGGGATCAGACACCTTTGTTTAGGGAACTGGGCCACAAATGTCCCTGTGCCAGGAGCCACCACCTCATTCGTGACCTTCCACCTCGAGCGGGCAACGCCCTCCCAGCTCCTGCCACCGCATCAAGCGCTCTGCAAAGCTCCTCCTGCAGATGGGATGGTCCCAGGAGCCCTGGATGTCCCCTGGATGTCCCCCTGGGGACAGGGATGGGGCTGTGCCTCTGCCCTGACCCTGGGGAGGGGACAGTCCCTGCGGGTCGGTGTCACACAGGAGGGTGGCTCCTGTCCCAGGGTCTGTTTTCATGAAAAAGCAGAGAATTTTCTCTGCCCTGGCTGTGGAGACGCCCCTGGGGCTGCCCCCTGTGCCAGCCGGCCTGGAGGGGGGGACAGGGCAGAGCTCCCAGCTGGGGACAATCCCAGTTCTGTTCCCAGTTCCAGCCCTGCAGCTGCGGATCCGAGCGCTCCCCAGCGCACACGGTCACGCCTCCAGTTTGACCAGTTCGGGTGGCTGGGAGTGCCAGGATCCTCAGGGAAAGCTGCTCCTGAGGCAGGAGCTGCTCACGCCCCAGAGCTGCAGCCAGCAGCGACCGATGGTGAATTCCCAGCACTGATAAATCCCAGAGCTGACAATTCCAGGGCTGAGGAATTCCCAGAGCTGACAATTCCAGCACTGATGAACCCCAGTACTGACAATTCCAGGGCTGAGGAATTCCCAGAGCTGACAATTCCCACGCTGATGAACCCCAGTACTGACCAGTTCCCAGAGCTGACAATTCCAGTGCTGACCAATCCCTAAAGCTGCAAAATTGCCTCTCAGGGATATTTGGGAAGGGGATGCTCCTGCCAGCACCGAGCCAGTGGCTGCTGTGTGACCCTTCCAGCACCTCCCCTAAGCTCCCAGCCGTCCCTCCATCCTTTCCAGCCTGGATCCTTATCCTGGCCCTGCTCCCAGCTCGGATCCTCATCCCAGACCTCCCTGGGATTCTCATCCCATCCCTCCCAGCTCGGATCCTCATCCCAGCCTTCCCTGGGATCCTCATCCCATCCCTCCCAGCTCGGATCCTCATTCCAGCTCTCCCTGGGATCCTCATCCCAGCCCTCCCAGCCCGGATCTCATCCCAGCCCTGCCCCACGGCATCCCCAGAGCCAGAGGATGTGGCTGGGGCGGATGTTTGTCCCTCCTGGGAGTTTCTGTGCAGCGTTTAATCCTCTTCGTGCCGGGATGCACAGCCCCGGGGGCTCCGGGGATGGGAGAATTCAGGCTCCTTGTGGTTTTTATTGTCACCTCCAAAACGCCGGGGTGGCGGCAGTGGCTCTTTAGGGCCGGGGGGTGGAGGAAGGGACGGATATCTCCTCTCATCCAGCGTTTCCTGAGCTGCTCATCAGCGCAGGAAACCCCGGGAGCAGCGGCAGGGAGGGATGGGACCGTCAGGGAAGAGAGAATCTGCTGAGGTCGGGGCTGAAGCTCCATCCACAATTTTCTGGATGCCTGGCGAGAGTCTCCTCTTCTACCTGAGCGAAATCCCGCTTGGAAATTTCCAAACCTTCTCTGCCTTTGCTCTCCACAGCCAAAACTCTGGTCTGGAGAAGACTCCGGTGGGTGTTCAAGGTGACTTCAGCCCCCACCGCTGCTTCTGTCGCATCCCTCAACTGGAAAAGGCTCAGCCTGGCCTAAACCGGGATGGTTTTTTCGGTTCTATTCCAACTCCGCTCACTCATTTCGAGCAGCAGGAGTTAAAAACCGGCCTGGCCGCTGCCGGGCCCCTTAAGCCGGGCTATTAACACCTCTAATCGCCTGCTCCAGGCGCAATTTCCCGCTGCAAGCGGCGGCCCTGCCTGCGGGGCTCCGCTAGCCCGGATTAGATCGTTCCGGCCGAGCAATTAGGCCACGCTCAACCCAGCAAAGCCCGGCAGCAATTATGCCCGTCCTATTAACACTGACAGGGCCAGCGCTATTTTTAGAAACACGGGAAACTGCCCGGCGGGGTTTTTGTCCCCCTCCTCCCCTTCCTGAAATGATTTTTCCCCCAGGTCTCCATGGTCCATCGGGCTGATTTTGGCACGGCCAGCTGGGGGCTGTGGAGGGGTCACTCTCCTCTGGTGGCCGGGTGACGCTGTTATTTCCTCTGATAATGAAGCCGCTCCGGAGTCGTGTCCGGGGGCTGCGGGGGCTCTGCCAGCGGGAAAATCCCGCTCTGTCTTCACCCCCAAAACCTCTTCCCAGCCCAGCTGTGAATCCCTACGGAAGTCAGAGCCTGGAGGGTGCAGTGGGAGAGATTATCCCGAGGGGATCCATCCTGCCTGGAGCTCATCCCGTGCGTGGCATCCTCATCCTTTTTAACCCCAAAGGGAGGGAATGGGGCTGTGCGGAGCCCCCCGGGATGGCGGTGGGGCTCAGGGGAGGGAGGGATGGATGGATGGATGGATGGATGGATGGATGGATGGATGGATGGATGGATGGATGATGGATGGACAGACGGACATTGAGGTGCAGGGCACCAGCTGCAGGTGTGGCGGGGGCCGTCCCGGTGCGGATCCTCTGGGATGGCTTTGGGGTTTCAGGAATGGGTGGGGGAGGCACCGACAGCAGGTGCGGCAGAGCGGGGTGCCGGTGCCGGCCGGGCGGGGCTCCGCTGCACAGGATGCCGGTGCGGGTCGGGAGCGGATGGGATGTTCCATCCCGGTGCGGATTCTCTCTCTGCCCAGGATGCGGTCCCGGTCGGTCCCGGTGCGGGTGGGGTGCCGGTCCGCTGATGCCGATGCGGGTGCGGCGCCCAGGTTTCGGTGTGCGTGGGGTGCGGGTCCCGCCCTGCCCCCGGTGCTGCTCCGGTAGAATGTCGGTCCGCGGTTCGGGATGCGGGTCCTGATAGGATGCAGGTCCCTTGCCTGCGGTGCCGGTCCCTTTAGGATGCGGGTCCCTTTAGGATGCGGGTCTCTCCCCCCGGTACCGGTCCCGGTAAGATGCCGATCCTGTTAGGATGCAGATCCCTGTCCCCGGTGCCGGTCCCGGTAGGATGCGGATCCCTTTAGGATGCAGGTACTGGTAGGATGCGGATCCCTGCTCCGGTGCCGGTTCCTTTAGGATGCGGTTCGCTCCCCCTGGTGCCGGTCCCGGTACGATGCCAGTCCCTTTAGGATGCCGGTCCCTGCCCCCGGTGCCGGTGCGGGCGCTGCCGGGGAGGCGGGCGGGAGGCGGGCCGGTGACTCATGGCTTCCCACCGGCGGCAGCTCCTCCCCGCGGCCGCCGGCCCCGCTCAGCCCCCGGCACATGGGCCGCGGCTCCGGCAGCGCGGAGCTGGCCATGGCCGCACCGCCCGCCCGCTGCCCCGACTGCCCGGGGCCGGAGCGGGGGGGCGGCGGCGGGACCCCCCCGGTGCCACAGCTCGGCATTGCGGTGGACGAGGGGGACGTGCTGCCCGGGGCGCTGCGGATCGTGCGGCAGCTCAGACCCGCCTGGGACCCGGCCACGGTGAAGACCAAGGTACGGGGAGCGGGGGGCAGGGACCCTGAGCCGGCACCCCGAGAACCCGCGGGGATCGCCCGGTGGGGCTGCAGAGCCCGGCTAGGGTGGGGTTGTGGGGTTCTAGGGTCTGTCTGAGGGGGGCTGGGGTGGGGTTGTGGGGTTCTAGGGTCTGTCTGAGGGGGGCTGGGGTGCGGTTATGGGGTTATGTCTGAGGGGGCTGCGCTGCTCAGCCCGGCGGGTGTGGGGTCAGCTCAAGGGGGGCTGCGAGGCTCAGCCTGGGGGGTTATAGGGTCTGCCCCAGGGGGGCTGTGGGGCTCACCCTGGGGGACTATAGAGTCTGTCCTAGGCGGACTGCGGGGTTCAACCCCTGGGGCTACCGGATCTGTTCGAGGGAGAATGTGGGGCTCACGCCGGGGGGTGTAGGGTTCACCCAGAGGGGCTGTGGGGTTCACCCTGGGGGGTTCTAGGACCTGCCCCAGAGGATGTGACACCCTGTACCCCCACCCCTGCGCTCAGAGCGTTACCGGAGGGTCCATCAGTGCAAAGGCGTGACACCCCCACCGCACACCCCCCACCAAGAGCTTTAGGGACCCCTAAACAGCGGTGACAGCGGGTACAAAAGTGTCCCCGGGCTGGCTGCCGAGGCGCGGGGGGTGCTCCTGGGAGCCGCTCTTGTTTGGGATATTTGTTGGCTCCCACTTGTCCCGGGCTGCGTGGGCTGAGCCCCGGTTCAGGTGGGAGCTGGACACCAGCTCCGGGCTCCTGGCACGGGACAGGGCTCGGCTGCGCGGAGCTGCCAGGGCTTTTCTGGGAAAGCTGTGCTGGCGTGGGAATGAATCCCTGTGCCCCTCCGGCCAGCTCTGGGGTGACACGGGCCGGTGGTCCTGTGCCCTCGGCAGTGCCCTGGCGCTGGGCACCGGGGCGTGGAGGGGCTGGGACTGCTCGCCCTTAAATGTCTGCACGTGAGCGAGCGTCCCCTCCGACAGGCACACGCTTCCCGTCATTAAAAATGTATTAATAGCCAAGTGTAATTAAATACAAGGAGGAAAAGCCATCTGAAAGGGCAGATGGCAACGGGCAGGAAGCTGGGAGTTGGAGTTTGCAGGGGCAGGAAATGTCTCGCTCTTGCTCGCGGGGCTCGGTGGTTGTGGAGGGACCCCGGCTCTGGTATCCAGGCTCCGCAGGGGTCAGTGTTCGACAGCAGCTCGGGTGTGCGTGCGTGTGTTTTTAATTAAAAAAAAAAAAAAAAAAAAAAAAAAGCAGTTAGGAGCTGAGGGAAAACCCTCCCGTCGCGTTTCCCTCGGTTGTTTTCCCTCCTCCCGCGTTTCCCCTCTCAGGAGCCGCTCGGGATGGGATGGAGAGGGCCAAGAGCCTCAACTGGTTCCCATTAGCGATCCCATTCCCATTCCCGGTGCCCTGGAGCGGCAGGATCTGCGTGCTCGGGCTGTCCTGCCCTGCCCTCCAGGTTGTGCCCGCTTCCCAGGGCTCCTGCTCCTCATCCCCGAGGAATGTCCGTGCGGCTGAGTCAGGCACCCGCGCTCCCAGGGAAGCACAAACCCCTCCATCCATCCATGGATCCATCCCTCCATCCACGGATCCATCCCTCCATCCATGGATCCATCCACGGATCCATCCCTCCATCCATCTCTCAGCCAGAGATAAAAGCGGCAGCGCCGCGGAGCCGAAGCCCTGCGAGTTCTCCAGCAGGGCTGGATGTTTTTAGCCCAGATTTGGCAACAAGTTGCCGTGCTGGTGGCCAGCCCCGGGCTGGGGGTGCTGAGACAGCCGGTGTTGGTATTTTGGGAATGCTGAGGGATTCTCCTGGCGGGTGCAGCACCAGGAGTTGGATTTTGCTTCTTCACCCCAGTGCTTTGGCACAGGTCTGGCTTTTAATCCCTGCGAAGTTCACAGGGTCTCGCTCCTTCCTTCTGTCCCTGCTGTCACCTGGCTGCAGGAGGGACGGATTTGGGGTGGCAGTGGGGTGGCTGCAGCCTGGATCCACAGGGAACAGCACCAGGAATCCCCCAGCCGATCCTCGGGAGCTGACAGAGCTGCCACTCCCAAACCCAGCGAGTCCCTGCAGGTCACCGAGGGACCACGTGTGCGTCTCCAGAGTTGGCGGCCTGGAATTCAGGGGGGATAAGGCTCAGTAATCCCGTTAAACCTGCTGGAAAGGGCTGCCCGGGCTGCGGGGCAGCAAAACAAGGCAGCACACGAGGATTTCACTCCATGTGGAGCCACTCACCTGCAGCTGACCCACGTGTGGCCGATGGTGACACCTGCATGGCCGGGATGTGACACCTCTGCTGATATCCCACTTGGAATATTCAAGTTTTGAATTCGGGCAATTCAATTCTGCCTGAATTTCCAGCCTGTGGGGCCTGGCAGGACAAGAGGAGGAGAGAGCTGAGCCCTGTGGTGAAACCCAGATTATCAGCTCGGGGAAAAGCAGCTTGAGAAGGTTCAGCCACAGCTGAGGGGCAGCGGCCCCTGAGGATGGGACAGCGACCTCGTCCTGCTCACCCCAAATCCAGCTCTGGAATGGGGGTGTCTGGCTTGGGGGGGTCTCATTCCAGCGCCTGGAGTCTCCCTGGGGAGGCTGCTCGGGGAGCCCTATATATAGGAACCCTATAGGGGAGCGTGGGTTGCTGAGTGGGATGTCTAAAATTATCCATCCCATCCCTGAGCTCCGCAGCTGCCGGAGCAGGAGCCCCAAAGCCCCTCCTGCTCCGGCTCCCTGATCCCACAGGGATGAAGGAATCATTCCCAGGAGCACTCTGGCACAGGGGACAATGGGATGGGGATTTCCTGTGGGGTGACAGAGCCCCAAACACCCACAAGGCCACAAAAGTGCCCAAGATTCCGGTGGGATACAGGAATCATTCCCAAGGGGAGCCACAGCGCCCAAGAGCTGGCACAGGCGACAATGGGGCAGGGATTTCCTGTGGGGTGACAGAGCCCCAAACCCCCTCAATGCTCTGAAATGCCCAAAATCCCGGTGGGATGAAGAAATCATTCCCATGGGGAGCCACAGCAGCTCGGAGTGCCCAGCTTGGAGCTGGGGACAATGGGACAGGGATTTCTTGTGGTGTGACACATCCCTAAATCCCCTCGGTGCCCTGGAGGTGCCCAAAATCCCGGTGGGATGAAGGAATCTTTCCCATGGAGAGCTGCAGCGCCTCGGAGCTGGCACGGGGGACAATGGGACAGGGGGTGACAGAGCCCCAAACCCTCTCGGTGCCCTGGAAGTGCCCAAAATCCCGGCGGGATGGGGCTCGGAGCTCAGCAGCAGCCCCGGCACGCCCGGGCAGGCGGCCAAGGCGGAGCGCCGGGAAAACAAAACTCCCTTTCCATCAGAGCGGGGACACTGGTGCCATCAGAGCGGGGACAGTGGTGACACTGGAGCCAGCACAGTGATGACACTGGTGCCATCAGAGCGGGGACACTGGTGCCATCAGAGCGGGGACACTGGTGCCATCAGAGAGGGGACAGTGGTGACACTGGAGCCAGCACAGTGATGACACTGGAGCCANCGGGGACACTGGTGCCATCAGAGAGGGGACAGTGGTGACACTGGAGCCAGCACAGTGATGACACTGGAGCCATCAGAGCGGGGACACTGGTGCCAGCACAGCGGTGACACTGGAGCCAGCACAGTGATGACACTGGAGCCATCAGAGTGGTGACACTGGAGCTATCACAGTGGTGACACTGGAACCAGCACAGTGACACTGGAGCCAGCAGGGCGGGGACAGTGGTGACACTGCAGCGAGCTCAGGGGTGACACTGGAGTCATCACAGCAGTGACACTGGAACCATCAGAATGGGGCCAGCACCACGGTGACACTGGAGCCATCAGAATGGTGACACTGGAGCCATGAGGGTGGTGACACTGCGATCGTTTTCGCCTTCGTTCGGTGGTTTATTTATTTATTACTTCTTCTTTTTTTTTTTTTTTTTTTTTTGGGGGAGCGATTCCCGGGGTTGCTCCCGTGCCAAGAGTGCTGCTGGCACATCTGGCACATCTGGCACAGCTGGCACAGCTGGCACATCTGGCCTGAGCTGGTCCTGAGCTTCAGGTGAAAAATAGCAGGATATTGTGGATTTGGGGGTTTTCTGGTCTTTTTCATTTTTTGTTAAGGTCGTGATTGAATGCACGAGAGACGACATTTCTGATTTGGACTTAGATGTTCATTAATTTTTATTTATGCTGCAGTTAGCACTTTTGGCCAACGAGCTAAAAATGGAGACGTATTTTTCTTTTCACATGTTTTTTTGAGTCTAAATGGTCTAATTAAGAATAAATTCTTAAATTATTTTTACTCTTAACCTGATAACTAATTAACCATGGCCCACAGTGTGAGTTTTTTTATTCAATTACAAAAATTACTTGGATTAATGAAGAAGAAGGATAAAATTTCCGCCCTAAAATTTTTATCTTTGATTTATGCTTTTATTTATTTTATATAAATTTATATGTGTATATTATATATATATTTTATGTGTATATAATATATATAAATATTTATAAATGTATATATGTATATAAATACATAAATATATACATATATTATATGTGCATATATTTTTATATATTTCTATGTTTTATATATATGTATATTGTATATATTTATATATGTATATCAATATATACGTATTATATATTTTAATATTTTATATATCTTTTGATATGCTTTTATATGTGCTTTCTATATATTGCTACATTTCAAAACCCTAAATTCTAAATTTTTTACTATGTGACATTACGTATTTCTCCCTAAATTTATTTACTACTTAAATCTTTGTTTATTTTACTTTATTACTTTAATAGGAATTAAATATTTACATAAATAATTAAAGCCATATAGCACTATTTTACTATATTACTTGAAATATTTAAAGTAACGCTTATATATTTATTTATCTGCTTAAATATATTTATTTTTACGTGATCCTAATTGTATCACATTCGATTTTTGGGCGCTTTCTCAGGTTAAAAATCAGCTTTTTCCTGGAGAAAATTCCAAACCCTCATTTTCCCTGGTTTTAACACAGGGGTTCCCCCATTCCCAGGTGTCACCGCTGAAATATTTATTTATTTATTTATTTTACTTTATTGCTTTAATAGCAATTAAATATTACTTTAAATATTTAAAGCATTACAGTAATATTTTACTATATGGCTTTAAATATTTAAAGTAACGTTTATTTATTTATTTTATTGATCTACTAAAATGTATTTATCCTTATTTTTACGTGATCCGAATTCTATCAAACTCGATTTTGGGGCGATTTCTCAGGTTAAAAATCGGCGTTTTCCTGGGGGAAAAAAAATTCCAAACCCTCATTTTCTGGTGTTTCAACACATTCTCAGCATCCTCAGGTGTCACCTGCTCTGTGATTGTCCCCTCCCAGGTGTCACCTGGGCCATCTTTGTCACCTGTGCCGTCTTTGTCACCTGTACCACCTTTGTCACCTGTACCGTTTTTGTCACCTGTGCCATGTTTTGTGCCCTCCCAGGTGTCACCTGTACCATTTTTGTCACCTGTGGTTTGTCCCTTGTATCATCTTTGTCACCTGTACCACCTTTGTCACCTGTACCATTTTCGTCACCTGTGCCGTTTTTGTCACCTGCTCCACCTTTGCCACCTGTTTTCTGTTTGTCACCCGTTCCCTGTTTGTCACTTGTGCCATCTTTGTCACCTTTGCCATCTTTGTCACCTGTTCCCCGTTTGTCACCCCCGTTTTGTCACCTGTGCCATGTTTTGTCACCCGTTCCCCATTTGTCACCCGTTCCCTGTTTGTCACCTGTGCCATCTTTGTCACCCGTTCCCCATTTGTCACCCGTTCCCCATTTGTCACCTGTACCATTTTTGTCACCTGTTCCCCGTTTGTCACCCGTTCCCCGTTTGTCACCTGTGCCATGTTTTGTCACCCGTTCCCTGTTTGTCACCTGTACCATTTTTGTCACCCGTTCCCCGTTTGTCACCCGTGCCGTGTTTTGTCACCCGTATCATTTTTGTCACCCGTTCCCCGTTTGTCACCCGTTCCCTGTTTGTCACCTGTGCCATGTTTTGTCACCCGTTCCCCCTTTGTCACCCATTCCCCGTTTGTCACCCGTTCCCCCTTTGTCACCCGTTCCCCGTTTGTCACCCGTGCCATGTTTTGTCACCCATTCCCCGTTTATCACCCATTCCCCGTTTGTCACCCATTCCCCGTTTGTCACCCATTCCCCGTTTGTCACCCGTTCCCCCTTTGTCACCCGTTCCCCGTTTGTCACCCGTATCACTTTTGTCACCTGTTCCCCGTTTGTCACCTGTTCCCCGTTTGTCACCCGTACCATTTTTGTCACCCGTTCCCCGTTTGTCACCCGTGCCGCCTTTCCTCCCCTGCAGCTCTTCACGGACGGCATCACCAACAAGCTGCTGGCCTGTTACACGGACGAGGCCATGGGGGACGCGCTGCTGGTGCGGGTGTACGGCACGAGGAGCGAGCTGCTGGTGGACAGGGACACCGAGCTCCGCAATTTCCAGGTGCTGCGAGCCCACGGCTGCGCCCCCGAGCTCTTCTGCTCCTTCCGGAACGGGCTGTGCTACCAATTCCTGCCGGGAATCGCCCTGGGGCCGCAGCACGTCAGGGACCCCCACATCTGCAGGTGGGTGGGGATTCCCTCTTGGAGAGAGAGGAGGGGATAAATTGGGGGATTTGGAGTGATGTAGTGAAAGCTTATTGTATTTCTATTCTATTCTATTCTATTCTATTCTATTCTATTCTATTCTATTCTATAACATTATCTATTTTTATATATATAAAATATATTATATAACATTATATTTTATATATATTTATTTATATATTATATAACATTATATTACATTACATTACATTGCATTACATTATATATTATGTTATATTATATTATGTTATATTATATTATGTTATATTATATTATATTATATTATATTATATTATATTATATTATATTATATTATATTAGCATTGCATCACATTATATTACATTACATTGCATTACATTATATTACATTATATTATATTATATTACATTATATTACATTATATTACATTACATTGTATTATATATGACATATTATGCATTATATATTATAGATTATATATCATATATTATTTCAAGTCGTATTTAATTACTATTGAAGTAATAAAGTAAAATAAATAAAGATCTAAGTAGCGAACAAATTTAGGTAGAAATAGATAATATCACGCTGTAAAAAATTTAGTATTTAGGGTTTTGAATATGTAGAAAGCACATATAAAATATATATATATAAATATATACATATATGTATATATTTATGCACTTTTTTTTTTTCCAAGGACAGCTTGAGAAGATTCGTTTCTGGGAGATTTGTTTAGTGTTAAATTCATTTCTGTGGGCTTCTTCTGTGTTAAATAATTTTCTGTTTTTTTTCTTTTCTGTCTTAAATTTGTTTTTTGGGGTTTTTATCTGTGTTAAATTCGTTTCTGGGGTTTGTTCTGTGTTGTTTTTGGCTCTCTCCTCACTGCTGTGGATGTTCTGGCCACCTGCCAGGTGTTCTCCCAGGCATTCCCAGTCTGCCCAGTGCCATCCATGCCATTCCCAGCTCAGGGCTGATAAATCCCTGAGGTTTTATCCCCAGGGGATGTTCCCCACTTGGGGGATAAATGGGTCAAACTGTAGCCAGGGATGTCAAAATTAACAAATTCTTAAAAGCACCAAGTTCAGGTGATGAGAGGTTTCCTGGGAATCTGGACTAAAGGTTTTCTGGGAAGCTGGGATTTCTTGGGAAGCAGAGTTTAGGGTTGAAATTCCCAATTTAGGGCTGAATTTGCCCTGAAAATGGGAATTCTGAAACGGTCCAGAGGCTGATCCCTGACATGGAACGGGGACTCGGCCGTGCTCACCCTGTGTTTTAAGCAGGATATTCAGGGAATCCCTCTCAACACATCCCAAAGCTCTTGTGGGGATTTTTGCGGGGGGATTTTGAGGATTTGGGATCACCTCTCACCCGTCTCCTGTTGCCTACACCAGGCTGGTGGCCCGGGAGATGGCCCGAGTCCACGCCATCCACGCCAACGGGAGCCTCCCCCGGCCCATCCTGTGGCAGAAACTGCACAAATACCTCGGCCTGGTGAAGACAGAGCTCAGCCCAAAGGTATCCAACCCCAGGTAAAGGCAGAGGGATCCCACAGAGCTCGGGCACCCCCTGCCCACCCAGCCTGGGGCCGGGCAGGACCAGGGGGCACAGCCCTGGTGCCCAGGTAAAGCCTCTGCAGGGATCTGGGGTGGGTTTGGGGCTGGATCCCCCTGAGATCTGGGGTTGGTTTGGGGTTGGATCCCTCTGAAATCTGGGGTGAGTTTGGGGCTGGATCCCTCCGAGATCTGGGGTGAGTTTGGGGCTGGATCCCTCTCAGAGATCTGGGGCGGTTTGGGGCTGGATCCCTCCGAGATCTGGGGTGGGTTTGGGGCTGGATCCCTCTCAGAGCCCCAGGAGCAGCTCCAGCCCCTTCCTGCTGCCAATTTGGGGAGGATTTCATTTTTTTTGGAGCTCTGGGATGTGTCTGTGCAGCATCCAGGCAGGATCCAGCCGGAGCCACGGCCTCCCACTGCTGCAATCCTCCTCCTCCTCCTGGGAATTTAAGCCTAGAATAAGCCCGAGCTCAAACCCTGCTTGAGCTGATGATGCAATCTAGAAACCCAGCCTAGATCAAAACACCCAGTTCGCGCTCCCAATCATTTTTTGGGGCACGCAGGTGAGCGTTGGGGTGCGTGAGAAGGATTTGGGCAACCCCAAGAGGCGGAGGAGGTGAATGAACCCCGAGGCAGGGCAATCATTAACCCTGGCAGGAGCCAGACGAGCTTTTCTCAGACTTTACCCAACGTGCGCCTTCAGCGCAGCCAATTAGGCAATCATTAACGAGTTCTCTTCTTGGAAGCCGAGCTCCCGAGGTTACCGGAGTCCAAAACATCCCCTTGGCCCCGGGGGTGCGCCCGGTGCTCGGGGAGCGAGCGCTGGGTGGGTTTGGGGATTGGCCCTGGGGGTTTTTGGGGACAAGGGATGCGCTGAGGTTGAGGTGCGGTGTGTGCCTGGGTGCTAAACCTGGCCCTCTCCCCAAAAACAGGATTTGCTCTGTGCCGTTAATGGGGTCGTTTGTAAGGGAAGAGAGGGAAATTGAGGGAATTCTGTCCCTGAGACCCCAGGGAAGTGCTGGAAACCGGGGAAACGCCACCCCTGAGCCCCAGGAAAATGCTGGAAGCTGGGGAAATTCTTCAAATTCTTCCCCTAAGCACCCAGGGAAGGGCAGTTCTGCCCCTGAGCCCCCAGGGAAATGCTGGAAGCCAGAGAAGTGCTGGAAACCGGGGAAATTCTACCCTTGAACCCCCAGGAAAATGCTGGAAGCTGGGGAAATTCTACCCTTGAGCCCCAGGGAATCGCTGAAAACCAGGGAAGTGCTGGAAGCCGGGGAAATTCTGCCCCTGAACCCCCAAGAAAACGCTGAAAGCCGGAGAAACTCCAGCCCCAAACAGCAGGGAAGCTCCCCAAGAGCAGCAGCGATGCCACCCTGTCCCTTTTATCCCTTTTTTTTTTTTTTTTTGTCCCTTGCCAGCCTCCCGCCGGACGTGCCCAGCCCCGAGGCGCTGGAGCAGGAGCTGGTTTGGATGCAGGACACGCTGTCCCAGCTCGGCTCCCCCGTGGTGCTGTGCCACAACGACCTCCTGTGCAAGAACATCATCTACGACAGCACACAAGGTCTGTGCGCCCTCGGCCACCCCCCGGGTGTCACCTCTGTCCCCACCCCACCCCTCTCACAGCTTTTGTCCCCGCAGATCGCGTTCGCTTCATCGACTACGAGTACACGGGGTACAACTACCAGGCTTTCGACATCGGCAACCACTTCAACGAGTTCGCAGGTTGGGATGGGCTGGGAGCCTCCAAAGGGAACCCCAGTCCTGGCCTGGGGTGTCCCCAAACTGGTCTGAGGTGTCCCCAAACTCGCCTGGGGTGTCCCCAAACTGGGGGTGGAGGAGGGAGTTAAATCCCAGGATGTTAAATCCCCAGTCCCAGGTGGGAAATGGGGTCTTCACATCTCTGGGATGGAGGATGGAGTTTTATTCCCAGTCCTGAGATAGGAAATGGGGTCTCCTATTACTGGGATGCAGAAGGGAGTTTTATTCCCACTCCCATGATTGGAAATGGGGTGTCCCCAAACTGGGGGTGGAGGAGGGAGTTAAATCCCCAGTCCCATGCTGGGAAATGGGGTCTCTTCCTCCCTGGAGGTGGAGGAGAGAGTTTTATTCCCATTCCCAGGTGGGAAAGGGGGTTTTCACATGGAATGGAGAAGGGAGGTTTATCCCCAGTTCTGGGGTGGGAAATGGGGTCTCTTCATCCCTGGGATGTAGGAAGGAGTTGAATCCCCAGCTCCATACCGGGAAATGGGGTCTCCTATTACTGAGGAGGGAGTTTTATTCCCATTCCCATGGTGAGAAATGGGGTCTTCACATCTCTGGGATGGAGGAGGGAGGTTTATTCCCACTCCCACGTGGGAAATGGGTCTCCTCTTACTGGGATAGAGAAGGGAGTTAAATCCCCAGTCCTGGGGTGGGAAATAGGGTTTCCACATCCCTGGGATGGAGGAGAGAGTTTTATTCCCATTCCCAAGTGGGAAATGGGGTCTTCCTGTTACTGGGATGGAGGAGGGAGTTTTATTGGCATTCCCATGGTGAGAAATGGGGTCTTTCCACCCCTGGGGATGGAGGAAGGAGCTGCACCCCAAATCCTACAGCAGGAAATGGGGCTGCCCGTGCTCAGAGCGGGGTCTCTGCAGGTCGTGGGCACTGGGATGCCCCTGGGGTGCCACTCCTGGCTCCTCACCCCGAGGCTCATCCTTGCTTTGTGCCGGGGTGGGGCTGGGCTCTCCTCGCTCTGCCGTGGAGAATCCAAACCCTCCCTGTCCCCCTGTGTCCCCCTGTGTTCCCCAGGTGTGAAGGAGGTGGATTATGGCCTCTACCCCAGCAAGGAGACACAGCTGCAGTGGCTGCACTCCTACCTGCAGGCCTACAAGGAGCTCACCCAGGGGCACCCAGGGGACACCCAGGTGTCTGAGGAGGAGCTGGAAACTCTCTACGTGCAAGTGAACAAGTTCTCCTTGGTGAGTGGTGCAGGTGGAAGGAGCCAACCTCGCTCCAGGGCTGAAAACACAACCCAGGGATGAGTTTTCCTCTGCTCTTGGGCTCCCAGCTCACCTGGAGAGGATGGGGCTGCAGGTGCCAGCCTGGGAGGTTGGGGACATGTGGGACAGGCTGTGCCAAGGGGCCTGGCAGTGCCTCAGGGGCGCCGAGCCCCCGGGCAAGGTCACAGGGGTGTGCTGGGGACAGCGTGTGTCTGACAGCCACGGCCTTGGGCAGCCCTTCAGAGGGGTCAGACACAGCCTGGGGTGAGGAAATCCTCTTTGGTAACTGCCAGGCACGGGCCCAGCTGATTTTCTGGAAATTTTAGGTGAAATATCCTCTGTTTTCCTGGCTGGAGCTGCCAGGAGGTCAGCACAGGGGGTGGGACCCCGTGTTCAGCATCCTCCCTGCTGCCATCCCTCGGGAGCAGCCTCTGCAGGGCACAAAAATCCCGGTGTGGGCCAGCCCCAGTCCCAGTCCTGTCCTTGTCACAGCCCTGGGAATTCCATACCTCAGCCAGGAGAGACAGGAGTGTCTGTGTCCCACGAGTGTCTGTGTCCCACGAGTGTCTGTGTCCCACGAGTGCCTGTGTCCACGTCCCCTGATCCTTGTTGTGCCCGTTGCAGGCATCCCATTTCCTCTGGGCGTGCTGGGGCCTGATCCAGGATAAATATTCGACCATAGACTTTAATTTCTTAAGGTGAGTCCGCCTCCCTTGCTGCCAGTGGGAAATGAGAGGAGCAGGAGGGTCCTGGTGGTCCCTGGGGAAGATCCCAGGGAGGATCCTGGGGATGATCCCATGGAAGATCCTGGCAGTCCCTGGAGAGGATCCCAGTGAGGATCCTGTGGAGGATCCTGGTGGTCCCTGGGCACACGAGTGGCTCAGAGCTGTCGCTTCTCCCTTTTTCAGATATGCAAAGCTAAGGTTTAAACAATACTTCAAGATGAAGCCGGTGGTCACAGCCCTGCAGGTCCCCAGGTAGGGACCACCCCGAGCTCTTCTGTCCTGGCCGTGTCCTCGCACCCCCCTGGCCCCTTGCCCAGCCCCGCCGGGGGCCAGGGCCGCTCCTGCCGCTGGCAAGGGGGGACAAGAGGAGCTCTGCCCCGGCCACCACCGCTCCCAGGAGAGCCTGGACACCCCCGAGACTGGACCATGAGATGCTGGAGAGGACCACGGCCCCGGCGAGGCCCCAGCCCACGCGAGGAAGCCTCAGCATCGCCTTAAAGCCGAGCCCCGCTCGGCCCCGGTGCCCGGCGGCTCCGTGCCCTGCTGGCACCGCTGCTGCTGCTGCCGGGCTGGCACCGCCCCGCTGTCCCTGTGCTGTCCCCAAGGAGGGACACGGGGTCACCCCGTTCCGCTCAGGAGCCCCCAGAGCTGCCTGGTCACTTTGCTGTGCCCTTCTGTCCCCTCCTGCCCTGCTGGGTGTCACCGGGGTGCCACCCCCAAAGCAGCACCGGGACCCTTTTCCATGAGGGGTGGGAGCTGACGGGACAGGGCACGTGAGCCACGAGGGTCTGGCACCAGTGGGGTGCTGCTGGTGGGCACTGGGTGTCCCCACAGCTGCCCCTGGGTGTCCCCACAGCTGTCCCTGCCTGTCCCCACTGTCCCCCTTAGCTTGGTGGCTTCCCTCTCCCTTTCCCCCTGTGCTGCCAGAGCAGCCCCCCAGCTCTGCCTCCACCCTCTCCCCCAGGGTCAGGGGGGTCCAGGGGTGCCCAGGGGGTCGGTCCTGCCTGTCCCCACCGCTGTCCTCCTCCCTTGGCCATGTCCCCACCCCCAGTGTGCTCCAGGACCAGGCACAGCCTCACCCCCCTGCCCTGCTGAGCCCTGTCCAGCTCAATCACAGCCTGTTGTCCCTGTCCTGGCTGTGGGGACAAGGTGACTGTCCCCGTCTGGGCACAGGGACCTCCCCCAGAGCCCTGTCCTGGCTGTGGGGACAAGGTGACTGTCCCCGTCTGGGCACAGGGACCTCCCCCAGCCGGAGCCGGGGCTGCTGTTGGTGTGAAATAAAAGCTGCTGGTAGCTGGAATTTGGGGGTGGTGGATCTGGGGGGGTTTGTGCCGGAGCAGGGGCAGCACCCCCGGGCTCTGAGGGTGCTCCTGTCCCTTCTGAACCTGCAGATGTCCCCACCCAAACCTCGCCCCCAATCTGGTGAAGCCCAGGCCCCGCTCTCTGCTCCAAAAAAGTCACTTTTATTGTGCCAAGGGACAGGGGGAGGAACGATTGTAAACAGGGATGTGAAATATACAGGTTAAGTTACTCATCGTCTTATTAACAAAATAAAGCTCTATCTATATTTACAATCTTTAAAAAACAAAACAACAACAACAAAGAAAAAGAAAAAAGGAAGAAGAAAAGAAAATAAATGAAAGAGAGACAGGAAGAGCTGCAGCTGTGGGGAGGGGGCACATCTGCTTCCAGTCCCTCTGCAGCACAACCCAGCCCAGCCCTGGAGCTGGGACCCCTCCCAGGGACCCCTGTCCTTCCCAGGGACCCCCGTCCTTCCCAGGGACCCCTGTCCTTCCCCGGGACCCCAGGACAGGGAGTTGGGAATAAATAAAGCACTGACACAGGGCAGGAGAGGACGGAGGGGATGGCTGGGCACGGGAGGAGGCAGGATGTCCCCTGGGATAAAGGATGTCCCCTGGGCTGTCCCCCAGCACTGAGCTGCTGATGCTGCTGAGCTTCGAATCCCCACCTTGGGTTGGGGACAAGGGGACAGAGGGACAAGGGGACAGAGGGACAAGGGGACAGAGGCTGGTGCCTGCTTTGTGCAGCCTCGAGCCCAGGTGACTGTGGCTCCCGTGGTGTCCCCAGCCCTGTCACAGTCCCTGCAGTGTCTCCGTGGTGTCCCCAGCATGGTGACAGTCCCAGTGGTGTCCCCAGCCCTTTCACTGTCCTCGCGGTGTCCCTCTTGCTGTCCCTGTCCCCTCGGTGTCCCAAGCCCTGTCCCTGTCCCTGCCCCCACGGTGTCCCCAGCCCTGTCCCTGTGGTGTCCTCAGCCCTGTCCCTGTCCCCACGGTGTCCACCTCGCTGTCCCTGTCCCCGCGGTGTCCTCAGCCCTGTCATTATCCCCGTGGTGTCCCCAGTCCTGTCACTGTCCCCTCGGTGTCCCCCTCGCTGTCACTGTCCCCGCGGTGTCCCCAGCTCGGGGCCTGTTCCCCGCTGCCGCCACAGGGAGGTGCCGGAGCCCCGCGCACGGAGGGACAGGGTGGGGCGGGCAGGGAGAGAGCGGCCGTGCACAGCTGGACACTGCACAGCTGGACACTGCACACACACACAGCTGGACACTGCACACACAGCTGGACACCCCTAGCTCTCACCTGGACACCACACCCACACACCTGGACACCCCGAATTCTCACCTGGACATTGCACACACACACCTGGACACTGCACAAACAATGCTGGACACCCCGAATTCTCACCTGGACACCCCGAACTCTCACCTGGACACCCCGAACTCTCACCTGGACACCCCTAACTCACACCTGGACACCCCTAACTCACACCTGGACACCCCTCATGCACAGCCACACCTCACCCCAACCCCTCTGGAACAGGCTTTGACCAGAGCAAGCTCATTTTTCCCCATAATTCATTTTTTTCCCCCTAAGGGCCATTATTGCTCCCTCCCTGCCCCCCTGCAGGGCTCAGGTGGAGCCCAAACTTCAGGGACAGGTGCCCAGGGACAGCCGGGCACGTCCCCCCCGAGCAGGGGCTGGCAGGACAGGGACAGCCCCCGCTTTATTCCCAAAGTGGGCCAGAGCTGCCGGCAGCACAAAGGGCCCCGAGGAGCCCTTGGCCGGAGCCGGGCCAGGATGGAGCTAAAATTGGCTCGGTGGGAATTCGCTGGCAGGTTCCAAAGAGCGAGCGGGAAGCGCGGCAGGGAGGTCACACCAGGATAGAGGAGGGGACAGTCCCCGTGTCCCCAATCCGTGCCCAGCAGGTGAGGCTCTCCAGGACCCACAGGGCTGGGAGATGCTCTGGAGGTTTTCCCTGCACCCCAAAACCCTCAGGTGCCTCTCAGGGGTGACAGCGCAGCAGCCACGTCACCAAATCTCCAGGCTCGGTGGCCTCAGCTCCACGTGCCACCAAAGCAAAACCAAGCCAGTCCTCAGCACCCAAAATTCCAGGTGCCCACCCTCGTGGGACCCCTGTGCAGGTGGGCAGCTGTCCCGCGGCTGAGTGCCATCCCACCAGGACACGCCGTGCCCTCCTGGTGGTCCAGCCAGCCCTGCCACCCCCTCCGCTGTCCCCCTGTCCCCCTCAGTCCGTCAGCACCACCAGCTCGCCGTCACTCTTGTCCTCGCCCTCCGAGTCCTCGTCCTCGCTGTAGCGGTACATGTCACCCTCGGCCACCGAGTGCCCGTCGTCCCCGGCGTCCCCGTCCTTGAGGCTGCGGGTGTTGACGATCACGGGCATGGTGGGGTCCACGCCGCGGGGCAGGTAATGCTCCAGGAGGGGAGGGGGCAGCTGGACGCCCACCGGCCGTGGGTACAGCACGTCCGAGGAGCTGGGGGGCACCTGGCTGCCCTGCGGCCTGTGGGGACAGTGAGAGGGCAGTGAGGGGTCAGGGGGGTCCCTCGGCTGCCCAGGGGGATTTTCTGTGGGGGGTAGGTGGGCACCAACCCCATTGACATCAGGTGGGCACCAGGTGAGCACCCACCCCACTGGTACAGATGAGCACAAACCCCACGGGAACCAGGTGAGCACTTGCCCCAATAAAACCAGGTGGGCATAAACCCCATGGTGACCAGGTAAACATCCGTGTCATCAGATAAACACCCACCCACGTCACCAGGTGAGCCCCCCATGGCCACCAGGTGAGCCCCCCCATGAATACCAGGTGAACACCCATGTCACCAGTTAACACAAACCCCATGGACACCAGGTGAACACAAACCCCATGGACACCAGGTGAACACAAACCCCATGGTCACCAGGTGAGCCCCACCCATGTCACCAGTTAACATCGACCCATGTCACCAGGTGAGCCCCCCCATGGTCACCAGGTGAACACCCACCCATGTCACCAGGTGAGCCCCCGGGGGGTGGGGCACACAGCTCATCCCTTATCAATTAATTACCCTATCAAATATCCCTGCCTGGCGTCCTGGCGCCGGTTCCTCATCAGCGCCTTGTACTCGCCCACTCGCAGCCGCTTGCCCTCCACGATGCAGGTGCGCTTGGGCCGCGGTTTGTATTTGTAATCCGGGTACTTCTCCAGGTGCTGCCGGCTCAGCCGCGCCTGCTCCTCGTAGTACGGCTGCTTCTCCTGGTTGGACATGGATTTCCAGCGGGATCCTGCGTGGGGAAGGAGCAGAGAGTCCTCACACCCTGCCTGAGAAACCCAGCCCCAGGTTCATTGGTGCTGGTGGTTGATTAATGGATGAGTGTTGTTAATTAATGGCGCTCCTTGTGGGGATAGCACCTGGATTTCCAGCTGTGCTGGTGGGAGCTGGTTCTCGCAGAACATCGGGAACAGCTTCCCTGAATTTCCCTGGGCATTTCCAGGGATTCATCCCCCTCATTCTCTGACTTTCCCTTCAGAGATTCATCCCCTTCATTCCCCGACCTTCCCTGTGCACTTCCCAGGATTCATTCCCTCAGTTCCCTCATCTTCCCCAAACACCTCCAGGGATTCATCCCCCTTGGGTTCCCTGACCTTCCCCAGGTCAGGGAGATCCCTCCGTGGTCATTCAGAGGGGCTTTGTCCCAGGATCTCATTCCCACCTCTCCAGGGATCCCCTGCCCCGGGATCTCATTCCCATCCCTCCAGGGATCCCCTGCCCTGGGATCTCATTCCCATCCCTCCAGGGATCCCCTGCCCTGGGATCTCATTCCCATCCCTCCAGGGATCCCCTGCCCTGGGATCTCATTCCCATCTCTCCAGGGATCCCCTGCCCCGGGATCTCATTCCCATCCCTCCATGGGATGCAGAGGGATCCAGCCCCATGCTCTCACCCAGGATCTTGCTGATGCTGGAGTTGTGCATGTCTGGGAACGCCTGCAGGATCTTCCTGCGCTCGTCCTTGGCCCACACCATGAAGGCGTTCATGGGCCGCTTGATGTGGTTGTTGTTCCTGGACTCCGGGAAGTGCCGGGAGCCTGGAAGGGACACCCGGGATGAGCGGGAGCACGGAGCAAAGCCGGGCTGAGCACGGAGCAAAGCCGGGCTGAGCACGGTGCCCCCCGGCCGTGCTCACCGTCCACGTCACAGCCCAGCAGAGCCTCGTCCAGCCGGTGCCCGGGCGCCTCCTCCATCCGCTCCTTCACCGGCGACGAATCCATCCCGACAGCTTCCTGCAGGACAGCGGGGTCAGGAGCCAGCCCCCAGCCTGGGGACAGCTGTGGGTGGTGACACCGGGGTGGTGACAGCAGAGTGACCCTCACCTTGCGGTAGGGGCTGCTCAGGGACCCCTCCATGGTGGCACCGTGGCCGTGCAGCAGCTGCCGCGCGTCGTGGATGGCTTTGGTGATGGCATCGCCCTCTCCCAGGAAGCCTGGCAAGACACGGGCACCGTCAGTGCCAGCGGCCACCCAGCTGACCCTCTGGGCACCCAGCAGTGCCCACAGCTACCCCACTGACCCCTCTGGGCACCCAGCAGTGCCAGCAGCCACCCCACTGACCCCTCTGGGCACCCAGCAGTGCCCACAGCCACCCCACTGACCCCTCTGGGCACCCAGCAGTGCCAGCAGCCACCCCACTGACTTCCCAGAGCACCCATCCCTATGGGCACCCACCAGTGCCCAGAGCCACCCCACTGACCCCCCGGGCACCTGTCAGTGCCAGTGGCCACCTCACTGACCCCTCGGGCACCTGTCAGTGCCAGTGGCCACCTCACTGACCACTCACACCACCCACTAATGCCAGTGGCCACCCCGCCGACCCCTTGGGCACCTGTGAGTGCCAGTGGCCACCCCACTGACCCCTCGGGCACCTGTCAGTGCCAGCGGCCACCCCGCTGCCCCCCCAGAGCACTGACCCCACCCTGACCAGCACAGCTGCGCCCTGAGGGGGTGGCACAGCCCGGGGTGCCCACCCAGGTCACCCCTGAGAGCAGCAGGGATGTTCCTCGTCCCCCCAGAAACGCGAGGGGCACTTGGGGACGCACCCAGGGGGAGGTTGGACGGGCTGGCCTGCAGCTCCCTGCTGGCCCCGTGGCTCGGTGTCAGGGACTGGCAGCTGCTCATCTTCAAACTGGGAGAACTGGAGGCACTGGGGAGCTCGGAACCTTTGGGTTTGGCCGTCAGGTTCAGAGGCTGTGAGGTCTCCTGAGGAGGAGGAGGAGGGGATGAAGGGTGAGGAGCTGTCCCCACACCCGCAGCCCAGGGTCTGGAGAGGATTTTGGGGCTGTACCAGGGTTTGGAGGGATTTTGGGGCTGTACCAGGGTTTGGAAGGATTTTGGGGCTGTACCAGAGGTTGGAGGGGGTTTTGGGGCTGTACCAGGGGTTGGAGGGGGTTTTGGGGCTATATTGGGGATTGGCAGTGGTTTGGGGGCTGTATTAGGGTTTGGCAGTGTTTTTGGGACTGTATCAGGTGTTGAAGGGGTTTTTGGGGCTGTATCAGGGATTTAAGGGGTTTTGGGGGCTGCACCAGGATTTGGAGAAGTTTTTGTGGCTGTACCAGGGGTTTAAGGGATTTTTGGGGCTGTATTAGGGTTTGGAGGGGGTTTGGGGGCTGTATTAGGGTTTGGCAGTGGTTTTGGGGCTGTACCAGGGGTTTAAGGGGTTTTTGGGGCTGTACCAGAGGTTTAAGGGATTTTGGGGATGTACCAAAGGTTTAAGGGGTTTTTTGGGGCTGTACCAGGAGTTTAAGGGGGTTTTGGGGCTGTATTAGGGTTTGGCAGTGGTTTTGGGGCTGTACCAGGGGTTTAAGGAGTTTTTTGGGGCTGTACCTGCATCTGGAGGTGGCCCGGGCCCGCGGGTCTCTTCAGCGTGGGAGGAGGGGGGCTGTGCAGGAGCTGCACCGGGTAATCCACTGCAGGAGCAGAGGGACAGGATTTGGGGACAACAGGGACACAGCCGGGGGGACAGGGACGGTGCCAGGGGCACCCAGCTCACCTGGTTTGCAGGGGATGGGCTGGATGGGCAGTGCCAGCTGGGACTCGGGGGTGACCGGGAGGGGCTGGTGGCCGGGGGTGAAGGCTGGGATCATCACGTAGGGCATGTTGACCTGCTGGAGGGGACAGGGACACCAGATCAACGCTGCAGGGCGGTGTCACCCCCAGGAGGGGACAGCAGGGCACGGGGAGTCACCCAGAGTGGGGAGGGGGACACGGGGAGTGTCCCCTGCCTTTACCTGGATCTGCTGCTGCAGGAGGTTGATCTTGTGCTGCTGCTGGATGAGCTGCTGCTGCTGCTTGGCGATCTGGGGAGGGGACAGGGGAGGTTGGTGACATCAAGGACAGCGCTGGGCTGGCCTCCAGCCTGGCAGAACCCGGCCAGCACCACCAAAAAAAAAAAAAAAAGGGGTGCAGGGGGTCCCCAGGGCTGTGGGGAGGGCAGGAGGAGGGGCTGAGCTGCCCCTGGGCCACCTGGAGGGATGCCAGGGCTGGGAGGGACCAGCCACCCCCACCCCACGTGTGACAGCAGTGCCACCCCAGGTGTGACAGCAGTGTCACCCCTGTCCCTAGGAGAGGAAAGCTCGGTGTTCAGGGAGCAGGTGAGCACAGGTAGGACACACCTGGGACGGTTTGCTCGTGCTAAGGAGCTCAATCCCCACCTCCGTCCACTCTTGGTCATCCTGGCTCCAAGGGAGGGAGGGATTTGGCTGAGTTGGGGGGCTCAGGGGGAACTGGGGGGCTCAGGGATGGTTGTGAGGGGGTTTGGGGGGGCTCAGGGCTGATGGCAGAGCTGAAGTTTCAGGGCTCAGCATGGAGGAGCTGGGGGGGTTTGGGCTGATTATTGAGGAGCTGGGGGGCTCAGGGGGAACTGGGGGGCTCAGGGATGGTTGTGAAGGAGCTGAGGGGCTCAGGAGGAGCCATGGGGCTCAGGGATGGTTGTGAAGGACCTGTGGGGTTCAGGGGGACCTGTGGGGCTCAGAGATGATTGTGAAGGACCTTTGAGACGGGAACAGAAAACAAGACCCCAAAGCCACCTCCCTGCCACTCCTGACGTCCCAAAGGGGTCCCTGGGGGGTTGGACAGTCCCCACCTGCTCCTGCTGCTGCCGGGCCAGCTCCATCTGCTGCTGCTGCTTCTCGAAGAGCATGGTGGCCATGTTCTTCTGCTCCGAGTGCGCCGTCAGCAGCTGGTCCCGCAGCGTGGACAGCTGGTTGATCATCACCAGCAGCTGCAGCTCCTTCTCTGCCAGGCTCTCCTGGGTTCCTGAGGGGGGAAAAAAACCCGACTGGATGATGGTCAGGGGGTTGGGAGGGGGGAGAGAGTCGGCAGAACCAGGTGGGGTGGAGGTGGTTTTGTTTAAGGAGTGGAATTCCCGTTTCCTTTCGCAGATCGGGGTGTTTGGGGTGGGAAATGGGAGCCAGGGAAATCCTGCAGCCACCACTGGGTGAGCAGGGAATGTCAAATTTGGGAGGGATGGAAAGATCCCCACATGCTGAACCACCCCCCATGCACTCAGAGATGCTCACCCCCCAGAAAAAAAATCAATTTAAAAAGGGACAAATCCCTTTGGTTTTTAGGATGCAGGGGGAGGATGGTGGAGGTGGATCCCACCTTTCACTTCCTTGGATTCAGCCGTGTTCCGGCCCAGCAGCCGCTCCTTCCAGTCACTGGACAGCAGCTTCTCGATGGTTGGCATCACTGGGGACAGGGACAGGGACAGGGACAGGGACAGGGAGGAGAGGACAACCACGTGAGCACATCCCAAGGCTCTGCACCACTGCTCAGCCCATCCTGCAGCTCTGGGAAAATCCTGAGGGATTTGGAATAGGGAAGGGATCCCAAGAGGCCCCTTGGGAACTGGACACCAGAGAGGCTCCTCCAGGAGTCCCTGGCACAGGAGGGACCCAGGACTGGGACTGGCCACCAGAACGGCTCCTCCAGGAATTCCCAGCACCAGCCAGGGCCCTGCCAGGACAAGGGGCTGGCCCTGGGAATGCCACCAATCCCTGATCCCACCAATCCCTGATCCCACGACTCCCTGATCCCACCAAGCCCCTGCAGGTGCCAGTCCCATCCCAGGGCCACATGGGCACAGCAGGAATGACGATGAGGTTTATCGGGAATGCACTGTAACACCCCAAGCACTGACATTCCACGGGGTTTGTCCCCCCCCCCGCAAAAAAAAAAACCTTTCCCACCTTCCTTCAGGTTCCTGTTGAAGTCCAGTTTCTCCTGGCCACCCCCGGCCGGCTCGAAGGCGGAGCGCCGGGGCTCGGGAATGTCCCCGGAGGGAGAGCGGGATTCCTGCGGGACACAGAATGTCACTGAGCGCTGCTGCCACCGCCAGGGACACCCCGGGATGGGACATCCCGATGTGCTGGGATGCTGGCATGATGGAGCACGCTCTGTCAGGCACGTTCCCTGAATCCCACCTAGAGAGAATCACGCTGGAAATGCTGGAATTTTCTTTATCCGAGCTCCTTTCCCCTCTGAGGGCAGAGCGGGGAGGGGTCAGGGAGAGGGAAAACCCAAGGACAATGGAAAAGGGAGGCTGAAAGGATGGGGAACATCTGGAAAGACCTGCAGGGAGTTCCACGCCAAAGTTGAAGCCCTCAAAGCCCAGGAACGATCCAAGAGGATCCAAAAAAACCTTGGGAGAGCCTCAGATTCCAATTTTAATTCCTTGGGATGAGGAAAAACCGCGCGGGGGAGCAGCCACCGCCTCTTCCCTGGGATGGGGGCAGCACCACGTTTGTCACACCCACCTGTGGCAGGGCCTGGGGGTCGGTGCCATCGCGGGGTGGTGGCCCCGGGGGCTCGTGGGGCCGGGGGTCGGCGCTGGGGGCGGCCCCCGGGGGGGTTTCGGGGGGGTTCTCCTTCTTCTCCTCCGTCTTGATGGCGCAGTTCACCATGGTGCCCGCGCCATCCAGCTCCGGGGGTGGGGACACCGGGCTCCTCATGGACATCCTGGGGACAACAGGGACGTCACCACGGCCACCGGGCACCCCCGGGTGCCAGCACCCCTCTCCCAGCCTGGCCCCACTCTGGGGTGCCCCACAGTGCAAGGACAACGTCCCTGGGGTTTGCCGTGGGCAAAGCTGAGCTCTTGTCCCTGATTTTCCAGGTTTTGGGGGTTCAGTCCTCAGGGAAATCTTGGAACGGAGGAATAAATTCCTAAAGGTGATGCAGATTGAGGGGCAACTTGAGGGAAACTCATGCCACATCCAGTGAGCCCAGGCTCAGGGTGACAGGGACTTGTGCCAGCCCCCCGGGGTGTCCCCAGGTCCCCCTCGGTGCTCCAGGACCGTGCCCAGAAAAATCGGAGCAGCCGCGGGTTTCCCACTCCGACAGGGAATGGAAATCCTGGCTCTGCCCAGCAATGGCTGGGATGGCACCAGAGCAGCTCCTGTGGGAATGCCCGGCATGGGATGGACCCTGGGACTGGGACTGGCCACCAGAACGGCACCAGCCAAGGCCCTGCCAGGACAAGGGGCTGGCCCTGGGAATGCCACCACTCCCTGATCCCACCAAAGCCCCCGTGGGTGCCAATCCCGCCCCAGTGCCAGATGGGCACGGCAGGAATGACAATGAGCTTTATTGGGAACGGGCTGTAACACCCCAAGGGAACCCCAAGCATTCCATGGGGTTTGTCCCCAAAAATCGCGTCCCATTCCTCACTGCCGGTGCCAGGGATCGGTGGTGCCCACGGGGCGGTGGCCACGGGGATTTGGCTTCTCCAGGCCACCAAGCCTCGCACCACCCAGCAAGAATGAGAACAAGCATTGTCCTCGCCTTTCAGGCGGGAATAATGGGAAAAGGAGGCTCTTAAGGAAGGGATTTATCCAGGACGCTGCTGGGAATCGGGATCTGGGTTGTGGGACGGCACCTGCCACCCCAAACCCAGCACCCTGTCACCTCCCAGACCCCCATCGGGAGCCCCTAAACCCAGTTTAGGGGTGCAAAGCGCGGTGGGGAGGGCTGAGCTGGGCTCAGCCCGGCTTGGGGGCAGCAATTACATAACAAACAAAGCCCGGCTCAAGCTGCGAATTAATCAAACGGCTGAAAATAAAACCTTCCTCTCAGGAACTTCAAACAAAAGAAATGAAAACAACAAGGCCGGCTGGGTAATGAAAAGCCAGGGCTGTGAATAGGGGACAAAAGGAAGTGGAACAATGGGGTGTTGGACAAAAGCAATAAAGTAAAGGGAAGTGTGACAGCTCCACAATAGGGCACTGTGCTCGCCAGCCTTTCTGATCTTAGCGGGCCTTTTTTTAATCTCGGTTCCCTCGCCCTCCTCCGAACAAACCCGCCGGGTTTCCTCCCGGCCCCGCATGGCCCGGGGGCTGCCGCATCCTGCGGCGCCCCTTCCTGCCCTGGCTCACCTTGGCCGGGGCCACCCGGCCCCCAAAATCCATCACCGGGAAAAGCCGGACACGGGGGGAAGCCGTGCCCAGCTCCAGCAAGAATTGGTTTAACGGGGATGTGTTACAGCTGGGGAAACTGAGGCAGGAATGCGCAGCACCTCAGCCCCTCAGGTGTGCTTGAAATTCCCTTTTCTCCAGCTTTTTTTCCAGCTTTTTTTTTTGCGTTTTTTGTCACGCAAAAAAAAATCCAAGTTTTGTCGGTTTTGTAGGAGAGATGCCTTCGGTTTGAGACAGGCACAAAATCCCAAATCCCACCCCTCCCGCAGGTCCCATTGTGCTTCACCTCCCGGTGCCACTGGAAATTTACTCTTCAAATGGGGCCAGCGTTTTAATAGGGCCGCGTTTGAAAGAGGCCTCATTGAGGGTTTATTATCCACTCTGCCGAGCAAACAGAAAAAAAAAAAAAAAGAAGGAAAAAAGGGGAAAACGCTCCCTTATCTCATTCCAGGCGGGTCTCAGGTGTGGGCTCCGGGGCTGCCTGGGGCACACAATGGGCACGGAACAATCGCCCTGGCACCGGCACTGAAAGGGATCTTCTCGGTTTTTAATGTTCCCCATTTAATCCAGGGCGGGGAGGAAGGGAGGGAACGAGGTTGGGATGGAAAGCGCCAGCCCGGAGGATGGAAACAGATCCCAAATCCTCATGGGATGCTCCCTTTCCTCACAGCGTTTCGGGGGCTCACCCCACAAGCAGCAAAATGAAATTCCCATATTTCACCTTTCATCCCAAAATCCCAGCCCAGCAACTCCAGGATTTTGGGGACGGTGACAGTTTTTATTCCCTGTTTTTTACCCGTGAACGGCACGTCCTGCAATTCTCCCGGTGGCCGTGCCACCCTTCCTGCCCGCCAGCCAGGCCTGATCCTATCGGCCCCCGTTCTGGAGCAGAACGGCTCCAGGGGCTGGGAAAAGGGGATGAGGTGCCAGAAAACCCCCACCCTGCCCAGCACCGGTTTGGGGATCCCAGAGATGCCAAAATCCCGGCACTGCAGGAGTTTGGGATGCAGGAGATGCCAAAATCCCGGCACTGCAGGAGTTTGGGATGCAGGAGATGCTGAAATCCCAGAACAGCAGGAGTTTGGGAATCCAAGATGTGCCAAAATCCCAGCACAGCAGGAATTTGGGATCCAAGAGACACCAAGAACCCGGCACAGCAGGAATTTGGGATCCAGGAGATGTGAAAATCCTGCAGAACTTGGGAATCTTAGAGATTCTGAGATCCTGGCAGCGCAGGAGTTTGGGAATTAGGAGAAGTGGAGATCCTGCAGAGTTTGGGAATCCTAGAGATGTGGGGATCCTGGCACTGTGGGAGGTTGGGAATCCAAGAAATGTCAAGATCCTGGCACAGCAGGAATTTAGGATCCAAGAGATGCTGAGATCCCAGCACAGCAGGAATTTGGGATCCAAGAGACACCAAGATCCCGGCACAGCAGGAATTTAGGGAATTCAAAGGGACAACGAGATTCCAGAGCTGCAGGAGTTTGGGGATCTAAGAGATATGGAGATCAAGAGATGCCGAGATCCTGGCACTGCCGATTTTGGGGATCCAAGAGCCACCAAAGCCCCTCACCCTGTGCCACATCACTCCTGCCCCAGAGCTCACCCTGCCCCTCAATTTGGGGGTGACCCAAATTTCCGGGGTGACCCTTCCCTCTCCTGCCCATCAGGTTGTCCCAGCTCTTGGAGTTTTTGCTCTCCTCCCTCCCAAAGCTCTCCATCCATGGCTTTTCCCTTCAGGAGCCTAAGGTGGTGCCCCCAAAAATCCTCATCCCAGGAAACGAAACGAAACAGGGAAAAATCCAAGGAGGAAACACCAAAAAGAGCAACAACGGCACGAGCAGCGGCCCCGGACACCCCTGGGAGGGGACAGAGGAAAAAATAAAGACACACACGGAGATTTTTTTCCTCTTGCAGGCAGGACCTGAGGAATCCCGGCACAGACAATGGCCCATCTCCTGCCAGACGAGCGGGGCCGCTTTCCTGCCAGACTTGGAATGTTCGGAGCCGCTTCCAAGCGTTTCCGCCCCGGGTGTCTTCCAAGAGAAAAGAATGGATGTTTGCTCCGGGCAGGGATGGATGGATGGCCAGGGGTGGCCGATGTCCCTGCCTGGGGGGAAGTTCACGGCGCTGTCGTGACATCCCTGGGGATCCAGAGCATCCCGGGATGATGGGGGGGGGGGGTCATTCCCTGGGAATGGCAGGTGGAGGAGGTGGGATGTTGGGGGGGGGGAAACGTGGATGAGGAAATGCAAGACCCCAGGGTTTGCTGGTTCTGAAAAATTGGGTTTTTAACCCCAAAAGGCAACGGGATGAGGGTTTTTAGC